GCAATACAGTGAGAACTAAGTGACGAAACAAATTGGTAAACAAAAACCTGAACCCACTGTACCTCCAAGTCGCTGTTGTTATGGGCTTTATGGGCTAATCAAATCACCCAAGCAGACAGCCAGCCAGCATTTGGAGCTGAAGCGGGTAGCAGAGTGTAAAAATGGCAGTGGAATGGAGTTCGTAGCTCCGGTGTTATGGCCGCGATTCAGCAGTACGCCGAAAAGACAGGAGAAACCAGTTTTATAGAATTCACAAAAAAGTAAGTGCACAAAGGAGCAAAACAAACAACAAAACGACAACAAGCAAGAGAGATATATCCAAGACAAAGAAGAAGTAACCGAGCGTGATCCGATCTGGCTGGCATTATGTGTACAATATAGGAACAACAATCTGCGAAGGCCGTTCAAAGACTCTTCTCTTTGCTGAGCTTTGGAAATCGTTGAGCTTGTTGCAGACTAAAGACTGTGGTCATTTCAATGACTGACTGAATGACTGACAGACTGACGGAAAATGCGAAAACAAAAGCAAAACAATGACAGATGCGGAAGCCTTGAGTCATGGAGTGGAAGATGGAATTAAAGCTAGATGAAAATACAGTCAAGCTTCGTTGAGACGAACTACTAAGATGAGTGATAAAGGGATCAATCTAATAACTATCTATATTATATATTTAAGATAATATATCAAATACTATTTATACCCTTGCAGGATATTATAATTTAAAATTTTAAAAAGCGAAGCTTTTAGGGAGTTTCCCCTGTAAATCGAGTAATATTCGTTTTGCAAACTGCCATTTTGTGCTATTGAACTTTGCCGTTGGCGCTTGAACTTTGTCGAGGGAACCGAGAGAATGAATATCTCTCTTCGAGTTCAAATGGGATGAGTTCAGCTGAGATGAGTTGAGCAGCTGAAGGCTAATGATGCAGCTGAGTCAGAGCCAAGATGAAATGATGACTTTGTTTTGGGCGGTGGCATTTTAGTTCGTTTACATTATAAACCCTGAGGAGTGTGCATCCGTTGGTTTTATTGATTTATGCATTACAGATTGGATGTGGTTGCTGCTGTTGCTTTCCTTTCTTGACTCCTCTTGGACGCATCTTTCAGCTGCTTTTATACTCTCTTCTCTTCGGCCAAAGAAAGGCAATGAACTGAAGACCAAGGCGAGACAAAGAAGAAGTCCAGTGAACAGGGCGAGGCAGTCGAAGGAAGCGCAGCACAAAGGAAAAGGCAGGGCCAGGAAAAGTTTCGCTTTTCATTTTGTCTGGAGTAACGGTTCATGGGGCGGGGCGGGACGAGGCAGGGCGGTGTGGTGCAGGGAAGTTAACGGTCGCCATGGTTGCCAGATGTGGTGAATATGCGCGCCACAGGCACAGACATGCTTGTGTTTGTCGGCGCTTAGGAAAATCCAAGGAAAATAAAGGAAAGCCAGTCGATTTAAATTGCTGGCGAGAGCTTTTTCTCCTCTTTTACCATCGGGCACCAACTTTAATTCGTGGGCGGGGGGCTTAAAAACCAATCGAGCGCCTAAATCGATTCCCACCAGATGAAGAAGAAAAAAATGAAAACCTGTACGGCAAATTGAAGAGAAAATTGAAAATAAGGAAAAACAAACTAGGGGGGAAATAGATAACAATAATAGGGAGGAGAAAGGTTAGACATTACAATGGGAAAATCGATGTTGGATAGAAAATTTGTAGCTCTCGACCAACCACAAGGTGAGCCAGTTGTTGGCTTTTATTTTAGTTGTTATTTTTTCCCCCCCAGGTCTCTTCTCTTTGTGGCTTTATTTTGTGTATTATTTTGTTGTGTCTTGTTTATTCGTTTTTGCGGTTTCCTCATACACAAAGCCAGGAAATTAAAATTGCATTAAAGTTGATATACAGCGGCTATGTTAGACAATCAAGGACTTGCAGCCAAGGATAGCTCAATACCATTGATTGGAAAAAAATCAAATAAAATAATAAAGATTTAGGTGAAATTTATGAGTTGACCTAAATATTTTTGGCACTATTTTTGGTGGCTCTGGTCTATTTTTATTTGTTTTTCTCCCAACGAATAACCAACGTCGAAAACATTTGTGTGTATGTATGCATATCATTGATAAAGAAAATTCTGGGGATAATATATGCAAGAGCCCATTGATTGATGACATCCACTCACTATTAATCCAATTTATGCAGACACCAAATTAATTTACATTTGGGATCTATACGCCCGCATTTTATCGCCGTAATTGTGTTGCCCAAAAAAAAAAAAGAAAATATATCAGATTTATGTGCATACTTAATGCCCATTTTCATTGGATATTCGAAATAGAGGTACAGTCTGTACACCCAGCACATATGGATGAATGGAGAGACAACAAAAACAAAAACAAAAATTGCATAACTTAAAAAAAAAATAGAGAGAAAGAAATACGATGAAAACACAACGACAACGGACAAAAAGAAGATCAAGTATAGAGGATTAGAGTGTCTATAAATAGCACTCACTGCTCCGCACAAAACATTTCGAAAACGGCAACAAAAGATAATGAAAAGCCCCGAGAAAACGATCCGATACAAAACCGAACAGAACCGAAGCTCCGATCGTGATGCCATATGCTTGGGTGGGTGGGTGGCTTCTGGGGGGAGGGGGTATTCTGGGGTGCGGGTGCCACGGCATCCATTTACACACGCGACCTATAAACAAACCCAAACTGAAAATGAGGCCGCGGCCATTCACGCGTCCAACGTCAGACGTCTGATATTTTTTTCTATACGCTTATCAGTCGTATTTGTGTGTTGTTTATATAAAAGCATTTAGCATTTGCCACAACAACAAAATAATAAATGGGGAAAATAAAAGGCGTAGAGCGTCTACGGAATGGGGAAGGGGGTACACACTACGGATAAATATATATATGTATAGAAAAATGCTAAATATATGTACATATATTGTTAGTAAGTGAGACGGCGATTTGTTTGTTTTTATGTTTATTAACTCATTTTGATTTCCCATTTGTTTTTTCATTCGAACGACAGAAAAACTTGTTTAAAAGCGCTGCTGCTATTTTGTCTGTTGTTTTCGCCAGAATATCAATTTTTATAATTTTAGATATTAAGCGAGAGACAACGACACGTGTTGTTGTTTTGCAACTTTTGCCAAGAATCCTAATTTGAAGCAAACAATAGCCAAGAAAGGGGGGATTAGTCATTCGGGATCGGGAAGGTTCTGCAAACATTATACGTGACAAACAATTTCCCTTACTCACTTACTCCATGAATCACTAGTGATTAAACAAACAAACAAATACGTTAGTAATCTATGAACTTTGAACTTGAATTTATATAAGGGGTTTTTACTCTTTTAATATAACTTTTAGTTAGGCTAAATATTAATAGTATCACTCTTATCTATGATATAACCATCTCTACTTGCTGCGACTATTATTATTCTCCTTTTGGGGCCAAGTATCAATTGCCAATTTCAGCGATAAAAACGCCTTGAACAAAGATCAACTAAAATGTATTCAAGTGTTTCCTACTACGCTCTGGCTTTCTGATTCACTCGTAAACATGTCTGCTTGCTTGCCGAGAGTCAATCAAAAATAATTAGCGCTTCGAATCGTTTTCGCTTCTCTTATCTCTCTCAACACAAAATTCAATGGAAAATGGCGAAATGGGCCGCAGAAATTTCAAGAAAGTCGTTCAATTCAGATACAGGTTCTAAGTTACCGAGAATACGGAGCGACGTGTGGAAATTCACTATATGGATGCATGACAGAAAACGTGCCCCAGCGGAGATACAAAACAAAAGCGGAGGCTTTGTGATAGAAGAAAAATAAAAAACAAAGTTTACGATTACCCCACGACACGTGTGGGATGCAAAAAGCAACACAGAAAAAAAGCAAACAAAAATGCAGCAATATATGTATGTACTCTTTTATAATTGTTACAAGGTGAGCTGGAGTTCGTACAGAAAAAAAAGGAGAAAAACATAAATGGCAAGTAGTGAGTCACCAAGAAAATGAAAAGGGAATGGAAAATGGGAAACATACAAATCAGCTGAGCGATCTAGGGTTGCCATCGCACCCGAAACCCCTATGCAGCTGCTGATAAGAATCCGTAGATAATTCAAATTCGCTATATAAATATGTTTGTATATACGGGTCTAAGCATGAGTCATCCGAAAAGTGAGCGAGCAAAAATTCCAGTCACGCACTGCAGGCAAAAAAAAGTATAAATAAAAAGAAGACAAAACAAAATATAAAGAGTAGTGGAGTGGAGATAAAGAAATTTCAGTTAGGGGCGGCGATAATGCGGAAAATGTTGCCTAAATTATGCGATATCTTTTGTCAGCATTTGAGCGTGTGTTTATGTGTGTGTGTGTGTATGTACTTGAGCTATTTGTTGTTCACTTATCAGCGGGCGACGTCCTTCGCGGTTGGGTTTTCGCCTTAGTTTAAGTTTTCTTTTGGCAAGTCGTAATATTCCGTTGGCAAAGTACCCAAAAATAAAAGTTAGACAGCAGCTGCTGGCTGCACATAGCAAAAAATATTAAGGAAAACAAGATAAAGAATCTGATTAAAAAGGTTAAAGACCAATCAGGAAAAATAATTATTTTTTGATTAATTAATAAATTATTTTTAATAATCTCTCCCGTTCGAGATATTAAATTCAAACTTTTCATTGCAAAACAAGGTTCTTAAGATTTCTTCAATTGGGAAACAATAAATCCTTTTTCTCTGCTCTCTTACATTTCCTTTCCACTGCTATTTATTTATTTTTCTTCAGTTTTTGTTTCGTATTTCGCGCGACATGGCAACGCTTGCCAGACATACACACACACTCACGCACATGTGACGTAGGCCCGCTCGTGTGTATTGGTGTGGCTGTGGTGAAGAGAACGTGTGACCGTGGGGAATTAAATGGTGGTGAATTAGCAACGTAGGCGAGCGAAGAGGAAAATGAAATAATTTATAATTTTCTTTTTTTTTTTCTCGATTGAATTCACTTACTTTTCCAATCCGTTTCGTGGAAATTACACAGGCTTGAAACAAAAACTCAGAGTTTTTTGTTCGGATCACAGTTGTTGGAAATAATTCGTTTTGATGGTTTCGCAGTAATTAAATTGGTTGCTAGTAATTATTAAAATTTTTTTTTACAGAGAATTGCACAGGGATCGTTGTTGCAGGAGAAGGGGCAAATAATATATCACAAAATGGTGCACGACGCAGTTGTTTTCTATTCTTTCGTTTGCATTAGCTCTTTAAAACGGTTTCTCTCCGTTTGCGGGGAACCAAGCAGAATTTTTCGATTTTCCTTGGGCACAATTAACGCACACGACGACACGCTAAGTGCAGGAGAGCTGCGTCCTGCGGTTTTTCTCAGCTGCGAGCGAAACGCTGGCAGTTTTCCGATTTCGAATTTACTGATTTATCGCGACGCACACACCAGCGAACAAGGCGAACGGGCGGAGAGAGAGAGGGAGGGGAGCGCGATTTCTTTACTTTATTCTACAGTATTTCTTTCGATTAGTTAGCAAGTCGCTGACGATGACAGTTGTGGGTAATTGAAGCCAAAAACCAACGTGGATCTGATCCTATCCTCCAAACGCGAAGTGAAACTGGTCCTGGTCTCGAAGAGGTTGTTGGATGTTGTTGGTTAAAGTCTCGAACTGAAATGAGCAGACTCGAAGCGTTTGCAGCTAGCCCGTGGTGAACTCGGCAGAGCGCTCTGCTGGCTTCAATCTAGCGATGCGTGCGTGAGCTACTTTTTCTCTGTCAGCGCTGCAGAACGATGCACGAACTATGTTGGGGGCGTTTAATTGTACAATGATGATTATCAAAAGTTGGATTTCTGTCATGTAATATTATACAAATACTATTATTTTATTTAGGGGATTAAAATATACACAATCTCCAATGCTGACCTATTATAAAAAATAAATAATTAAACGTTTTTGATATTTGACTTATACTGTATTACTAAAAGTTTGTTTATATATTTCCACATATGCACTTTATTTTTTAATTTTTATTTATTTTATTTGTGTTCGGTAACATTTCGTGACACGAACACAGATCCAGCACACTTGCCCATCTCTACACGAAACGAGCGCTGTTAACTCGTGGAGAGCACCGTTGGCTGGTGTGGTGAGTGCTCGGGGAGGGAGAGGATGACGGGCTAAAAAGAAATCGCCAGTCAACGGAGAGAGGCAAGTAGGAAATAAATTAAATGTGATTTGAGCAAAGATGGTCGAAAATGCGTATTTCCACCGAAAACACCCGACTATGTTAAGTAACAGCGCCCCTTTAAGAATAAACAGTGCAAAGTGCACACACAATAAGACAAATGCGAAGAAGAGGCGTAGGAAGGGAGAACGACGGAGAGGAGGAGGCAAAGACAAAAGACCAATGCAGCGACAGAGAGCGTAGGGTGCTGCAACTAAATAAAATCCAAGATCCTGCCAAAAAGCAGCTAGTATTTATGCTTACTGGGCGTTTCGCAACCCTTTATATGCGCTTTTAATAATCTTTATGGTTTTCGTATGATTTTAAATTAGGCGACGACACAATTTCGACGACGCCATATTGTTCGCCATCCGTGAGAGGGAGCACGAGAGAGCGCGGCGTTGTTAACAGCGGAAGAGAGCGTTCGACTGCGCTGCTGCTGCGTCATCAATGCAAACTGCGCACTTTTTAAAAATCATTTTTTATATCAATTTCTATGCGTTCGACCATTGTGAACAAAAGCAATTATGTTGAAATCGCCAGTACATCTCTCCGCATGCCAATTGCTTTGTCTTGAACAATTGTAGTTCGCTCAATAACATAGCCATATTGTGAAATTGCTGTAGTTGGCCGTGGTGAGTTTCGCACAGGTTAACAGGCCTGCAATTTGTTTTTTGTCCGAGTACCCTACAGTGGGATACATCTGTTCTTTGGTCCACTTTGTTCGATTTAAATTTTCTTAAATTTAGTTTTGTTTTGATATAGATACTTATTGGTAAAGACAACTGTGGTGTTTCACTTTGATGGTTAATAATTAAACTAATATATTTTCAGCTGTATATAACATTTTAACCACACTACCACTACTGATTTAAAACTATACATTACAATCTGCATAGAAATATACTAAACCCAATGTTTTTAAGTGTAGAACAACATTCGACTTTACTTTTAATTAGCTATAAATGTTTTTGTGATTTTTCCCTGATCACTCACAAAACAAATGCAAAGGCAAATGCAAAATCAGTGTGGGGCTAAGAATTCGCTTAATTAGAGGTCATAGGCTCAACCTGATCGTGTTTATATAAAAAATACTATGAAGTATTGCCTAAGATCCAGTTTGGGAAGTTTCTCGATATAATCTGTGTGTTTATTTTGGCTATCAAAGGTCGCGCCTGCCTACGAAATTGGTTCTGCATTAACCTTGCCGCTGATAAATAATAAAAGCTGACAAAAAATAATAAATTGAAATAAGCGCTAATGTTAACGAACTTTATAAACTTAAAGGCAAGGTTACAGCTAAGGCAGCAACAGCAACGGGCTGAAAAACTCAAAAATTATACGAGACGTAAAAAGGCAAAACTCAAGTGCGCGAACGCTGCGATGTGTAGTATAAAGTATAAAGTCGCAGAGCGTTAAAAATAAAATATATAAAATCAGACACGCAACGGCTGCCAGCAGTGTTTTCTATAGAAAACGAAACGAAAATTATTTCCTGTTTTTAGCCATAACAGCCGCGCGTGGTGAGAAGTAGCAGATAGTATAACAGTGCAAGAGGAGAGTGGGTGGGGGCGTGGGGGAAGTGTGCTCTCTTCCATGCAGGGCTAACAGAGCAGAGCGTGGTGAGTCCGCATTTAACCGTTGCGTTGCAGTTTGTTTACCATTCGTTTTTAGCCACAAAGCCAAAACGCAATTGTGCGGGAGGTGGGGTAAGATGGCAACAGAAAGAGTCACAAAGGTGCTACCAAACAATGCGTAAAAAGCGAACAAAAAAATAGGGTGATTGATAACAAGGTGCGTCTTACAATTGTTCACTGTCTGTCCGCGATGAAGTACGAAAATTCTTGAGACCTTCAATCTATGGGGCACTTTATATGCTTATCTATTTTAGTACGTCGATTTAAAAAATAATAGTTTAAATTTGCCCACAAGGCAATACAAGCTTTCATATACATATGAAATTTTTTTTTTTTTATGAAGAATAATACATTATTATTCAAGGAAATCATAAACATTAATAATGTTTCTACATACATACTATGTATTTCATTTATGCAAACCTTGGGTGTTTGTAAATTTAGAACATTTTTAATCTGATATCATTGTAAATCGAAAATTCTTTAAATTTCAATTTGTGGTCACAATATTTTTTGAAAAAATGCGTAGTACTTAAACCTGAGATATCCAGGATTTGAAAGTTTGTATATTTCAGTTTTATCTATGCACATACTAAATTCCATAAGAATCGGTTAGCTATAATATTCAGAAAATATTTTAAGCTCCCTTATCTTTATAACTTTTAAATTATTTAATTTAGCAAAAAATATTTTTCATAAAAAATAAATTTTTGTAATTTTTTGGCGGGTATAACACATACTAAACCTTAGGTATTTGTAATTTTACTAAATTTTTAATCTAATATCATTGTAAATAAAAAATTCTTTAAATTTCAATTTGTGGTCACAATATTTTCTTAAAAACTGCATAGTACTCAAACCTGCGATATCCAGGATTTGAAAGTTGGTATATTTCCGATTCGTCTACCCACTTACTAAATTTCATAAGAATCGGTTGGCTATAATATTCAGAAGTTATTTTAAGCTCCCTTGTTTTCATAACTTTTAAATTATTTAATTTATCAAAAAAATAGTTGCATAAAAAACAGATTTTTGTAATTTTTTGGCGAGTATAACTAATATTTAATATAATAACTGAGTCTCAATTGTTAATAATAATTAATTAATCATTTCTAATAATTAATATTAATATATTCCTTTTTAAAATAATAAACCTCCCACATTTTTCTACCAGTATGCAAATTATGGAGCTTCAAATAGAGTATGTGTTTATGTATGGATGTATTATTATTTAATTCAGCGGAAAAAATAGATTTTTGTCAGTTTTTGGCGAGTATAACTAATGTTTAATAAATTAATTGAATATCCATTATTCTTAATAATTAATATTAATAATTTTAATCAAATTAATTTTTTGTATTATTTTAAATAAAAAATTGAAGAAAAATTTCTCCCAGTGTGTGAAATTATGGAGCTACAAATAGAGTATGTGCTTGCACACAGATGTACTTATGTAAACATGTGGCACATGTACATCGCACACTGTACAAGGTTGTGGGAGAGTGAGTGCATCGGACAGGCGAGAGAGAAGAAGCAGCAGCCAAAAAGGACAACAAACAACACATTTCTAAATTGGTAGAAAGAGAGGGGGGAAGCGGAATGGACAAGCCTGGTATATTTTTGGCACACGCGCCCTCTCGCTCTGCCATATTCATACCATTGCGCTTTGGTGCATTCAACTTGCTGCGGAGCGAGACAGGTGCACGACGACGATGGCGGCGGCATTTACCGTTCGCCGAGATCAACAGCTGTGCGAGTGATGGGGAAACCAGCTAGTACACAGATAGATAGAGAGAGAGAGTGGGAGAGCATGAGAACAGGACCTGGAGACAACGCAATTTGTTGAACTTTAATGCGTAGCAAAGCAAATCGCAACTGCAGTAAACAATGAATCGTTGCTAACTGCCTGCCTGCCCTCCATTTCCCACACCCCACTTCCCACCTCCCTGTGCCATGTCATGCTTTGTTATTGCTGTCCAAGCTTATGGGGTTGCTGCTGCTGCGTAGCGCTTTCTGCTGACGTTTTCCCTCTCCGGTTCTGGATAAGCCAACGGCGCATGCAACAAATTGCGTTCTACCAACAACACACAACAAACAAAAGCCGTCAGTGATGGCTTTATAATAGCTAGAATTGGAAAGTACAGGAAACGCACGTTACAACAAACAAGTTTTCGACAAATCCAAGTTTAAAAAACGCACAACTAAGCCAAAAAAGCATTCATTTTAATTCGGAAAGCTTTCCTATGTTAAATTCTAATAGGTTAATAAATACATACATACTACATACTCAATTTCAAATTTAAAAAAAAGGACATTTTTGTCCAATTGTTTTCTTAATTTTAACGATGTAACCCCTTATAAAATTAAAAAAAAAATTTCAAAATTTATTTTTCGAGCGGACAGGGCTAGATCTACTCGCCTATTTATGCTGATCAAGAATATATATGATTTTTAGGGTCGGAAATGACTCCTTCACAATATGGCACGATAATGACTGAAATTATAATACCTTGCAAGGCTATAAATATGAATTCCATAAAAATAAAAATATAATTTTTAAATATTATCCACATTTTAGATCCCAATGTCTTATAAATAGCTAAATAAGATACCAACTATGTCCAAAGAACCCACAAAGGCTACAAAGAAACGCCACTTGATGACGTAGTTTGTTTTCCAGCTGAATCCCAATTGCAATTGTTCCGAATTACCCCACTTGGCTGTGAATGCCTCGCTAAAGGAAATCAGTAGAAGAATCCAAAACAAGAAAGTGTCACAGATACGGAAATATATCTATGGGAAAGGGTAGGTTAACCACCAGCAACGGGGAACCATCCCTCCTCCTCCGGGAGGGAGGCACTGACACTGGCACTGGGCACTACGAAATCACCAGAGTTGTCGTCATCCAAGGAGTGATTAACAAAAACAGTTGATTGAACTTTGTTTGGCCTCCACACATCCCACGGCGAGACTGTTTGTATTAGTGCCCACACTTGGTGTGTACTTGAAGTGCCCCACTTTGCGGTGTGTGTGCCGGGGCTGGGGCTGGAGAGCCCATAATTTCGGGTGTTAATGACCAGAGCACTGACTTTGAACGATGCAAATACACACACAACAAGTCCAGCAATTGTATTTCAAATACTGATATCGATGGGGAATACTTGCACTCTCTGGGAATTTCAGATGCGAAGGGGAATCACATTTACCCACTTGTAGGGGTTTACACAAAAATAATGTCCTTATCCTCGAATAGGAAGTCTGAAATATACTTGAAGCTATGGATATATAAGGCTATTTCTAAGATACATAACTATAACATCTTGAAATATAAAAACTATAAACTAAGTTCCTGGAATTAAATCTAATAAATCAACCACGGAAAACTAATTACTAGTTTTGGGAATATATAATCCAGTTTTTAAAAACCTTATCAACTTTTCTCCGAAAAGATGAAAAATACTAATGGATGCCTGAGGATTTTCCAATCATGATGAATGGATGTCCCCTGTGGGCGTTCTTTTGGTTAACGCCCGGAAAATGGTCTCACGAGAGATGTCATTAGACTTGTACATATGTATTTTCGGGTTTTTGTATTTTGCATATTGCTTTGTCGCTTATTATTTTAGATACATAGGCTACAATTCAGGTTGTACATTCACATATATATTGTATATATGGATATAAAAAACACGATATGTAGGCAGAGATTCATCAACAGTATACATGTATACAAAAACATACGACAATTGGACGGAATGCGACTGACTTACGACTAAATTACGCAGATTCGTGTATAAAATTTGTGGTATTTCGAGATACGGTTTCTCTAAGGCACGGAACTGGTGGATGGAATGTACAAAATAGTTTAAGAAATGTGTGTTTTTGTGTACGAAGAAGCATCGGGTGTTATGTCTTGTGCAGTTTTCGTTGTGACCTCCATTTTTTCAGGTTTGGATTTGGAAAATACTCTCTTATTTAACCCACGGGCATCGTAGACACGGTGCTGTGAGGAGTGGTTGGCCGAGAGCCAGCCAGGGAATTAGCCGTGGACGCGTGCAGCGAGGCCATTGTGCCCATCTAAAATGGTAGATATAAAACATATAAAATATTTATCTGTGGAGCTACATAATAATCTTTATACTTACGCGCAAGTGAGCCAAGTCCTCCAATTTGGTGAGATCCACCAGCTCCAGGAAGAGCGAGTACACCACAGCCCAGCCGTAGATAGAAACTAGGCAAAAGACACTCCATAGCAGCACCATGATCACGTTGTAGGCAAAGTACAAATCATTTACAATGGCAAAGAAAATCAAAGCCAAAGCTCGCCATACAGTAAAAATGGCAAAGGTCCACAGCCAGGGCATGACCTTCTTCTCGTATTCCTGTAGAAAGATTTTTAAAAAGTATTAAAATAAAAAGATTTTACTTTGAGAGGCGAGATATGGCCAATGGTTTTTAGTGCTAATTTCTTGGTTATGATTGGTGCGGGTATGCATTTGTGTTACCCTTCTGCTCAGTAAGCGTTTCTTTGCTCCCAGTTTTTCTTGCTTTTTCGGGCAATGAGAAATGTAAATGAATTCGCATGCTTATAACTATTTATCCTTAAATCAAACTTACCTTGCGCAGAGCCACGCAGAGCAGGACGCTGGTCACAAAATTAATTAATGCCATGATTAGGGAGAATAGAGCAAAGACAATCAGCATGTTGCGAACTGGAAGAGGATAGGAGGAGATTATAATACAGATTTGAAAATATAAAAATCCATCTTCTAAATAACCAGACTTAACTTTTATAAAAAAAAAAATAAAACATTACATACTAGATATTATTCTTAGTCTGAGTCATACCATGCTTGTTGCCCACATAGACAAATTCGTAGGATATAATATAATAGCCATAATGCGTAGACCCTGGCGCAGCCATTGCATAGCAATAGATGTCGAAAATGCTCGTGGCAATGGTAAACAGTGAAAGAAACTAAAATTAGAGATAGTTTTTCATTAATTAAAGCCAAAAAGGATTCTTTTAAGGATACATTACAATGGCAAACAATCCGATAAGCATGGCGCCCTTCTGTATGTCAATATATTGGTTATTCTTTAGCAACGGTCGTTGGTACCAGGGAATCCTTACAGATCGCGTGGACCGGGACATCTTCGAGTGCAGGTTTGTCGAGGATCTGAAAGGGATATATTATCATTAAGTACTACCAATTAACATATAAAATAAGGGACGTACCTTCCCGTGGCATGGGAATAAACCGACGGATTCGAGCGATATGTGGAAGGCGTTTTCCTGCCGTAATTCATCTTGAAGCCTTGCAAGTGACGTCACGGGCGGTAAATTGTGGATATCCTACCGATATCCAATTAATAACTGCAGGATGAGGATAAAATTGAACAAAATAAGTATTATTTCCCATTTTTCATTCATGGGCCAGGGCGTGTTTGCTTAATTTGTTATTTTGGGTGTGTCAAGCTGGGCTTTGGGAGCTCCCGAAAACTTTGAGGGCGAATTTAACGCTTTTAACTTTACACAAACTCAAATCTTTCACTGTTAACTTATTGCCGGACAGCTAAAGTTTATAAAAACCACTTTGGAATGCGAGATTGCATTTATTTACCTTTATAAAAACGAAGAATTAATCACTTCACAACAATTTAAAAACAAAAAACAGAACGGCGCTGCCAACTCATGGAAGTTCCAGGGATACCGAAGCAGGTTTCCGAAAATAACGATAGAGCAACAAGTGTTATCGAATATGCACAGCTGACAGCTGTTAAAAAAGCCCAGGAATTTAAGAAATTTAGCACTTATATGTACTATTAGCATTATTTTGTATTATTTACAATAAAAACAATAAAAAAACAATAATAAATATATTTTTGATTACATCGATGTTTGAAATCGATGTATCGCTTAACCTAAAAACCATCTCTATTATCGTTAGGACAATCGATATTTTCCCAGCTCTAATAAAAAACATAAACATACATTTTTTGTAAATTTTGTAAATGATTTCCTCCAAATGTCCCTGCCGAAGATCACAGACTTCGAAATCCTCGAAAAGCTTGGAGCAGGAAGCTATGCAACCGTCTACAAGGCGCGACATAAAGTGCGACAACGAATGAGAACACCCATCTTTTTTCTAGATTCGTGGAACCACTAATGATTGCCCTTTATCTTTTCCAGAAACAGCGCACTTATCATGCCATCAAGTATGTGGAAATGTCGACGCTGTCGCAATCCTCGCGGGAGAACCTAATCACGGAAATACGCCTCTTGCGGGATCTCAAGCACAAGTACATTGTGACCCTGCAGGATTTCTTCTGGGACGACAAGTAAGAGCCCACCCAAGGGGGCTATATCCTTATCCTATATCCTGAGAGCTTATAGCCATGTGAATGAGTCATTTTGGGTTAGATGTGTGTGGGTTAAGCGTGATAAGGTTATAGGGAAAGGTGGGTTACCATGGCCAGAAAATTATAGGGTTTATGTTAGGTGTAAAAGAGATGCTTAGGGGATAACTAGGTCAACTGTTGACATGACTTGACTTTAATTAATTAAATGGTATATATTATTTTTGTGGTCTATAAAAAATTAAATTTAAGTTCTAAAAGAGAATTCTTAGACCTTTTGTAGTTTATAAGAAAGAATGAAGTACTATTTCATATAGTATTTATTAACATATTATTTAATTCTTTCAGAAATATTTACATTGTCCTGGAATACTGCAATGCCGGCAATCTTTCCGCTTTTATACGAACCAAAAAGGCCTTGCCAGAGAGCACCTGTCGCTACTTTCTGCGCCAGCTGGCAGCAGCAGTGCAGTATATGCGGGCCAATGATGTCTCCCACTTTGATCTGAAGCCGCAGAACCTGCTGCTCACCCGGGGAGCCAATAATGTGTCCCTCAAAGTGGCCGACTTTGGGTAAATATGAATATTTATAACAAAGAAAAACAGCATAATAATAATTATTAATTCCCATAGCTTTGCCCAGCATCTAAAGTTGGGAGAGATCAATCAACAGCTGAAGGGATCTCCGCTTTACATGGCCCCAGAGATTGTACGAAAACATCAGTACGACGCCAAGGCGGATCTCTGGAGCATAGGCGTGATCCTGTACGAGTGCCTCTTCGGCAAGGCGCCGTATAGTTCGCGAACCATTGAAGAGTTGCTGCTGCGCATTAAGAATGCCGAGGCCATAACACTGCCACCCAATGCTCGCATTAGCAACGAGTGTCACGATCTCCTGCGTCGCCTGCTAGCCCACGAACCCACGGCGCGCATTTCGTTTGCAGATTTCTTTGCCCATCCTTTCCTCGATCTCAAGACCTTTCCCACGGAGCACACTCTGCAAAAGGCCATTGATTTGGTTACCCAAGCGTGCTCGTACGATGAAAAGCACAACTACAAGGAGGCCTATTATCTCTATTGCAGTGCCTTGCAGTATTTTGTGCCTCTGATTACGGAGGAGACGGACGCCACCAAGCGTCTAGCTCTCCGGAATCGAGCTTTGTCTTATATGAAGAGAGCAGAGGAGATCAAAAACTGTATCATCGAGGACGAGTACAGGATGTTGGCCCAGCGGCAAAAGCAGGCGGCTCACACCACAGAGTCTACACCACAGGCTGCACAGAAGGCTGAACCGCAGCCGAGTAGCTCAAGGGTTACAGAAATGCTGGAACCGGATGCTCGCTTTAAGCAGCTTTGTAAGTGTAGCTTGAGATTAATTTAAATTATATCAAAATTCTTTGCTCTTAGTTGCCCTTTCGAACTCAAGTCCGTCCCTGAAGACTGGCCTGGAAATCGGACGAAAAGCCGAGTTATATCTTTATGAGCGCAAACTGGACGCGGCCTTGGAATCGTATACCTCAGCGTTGGGCATTCTGGTGCCGTTTGTGAACAATGAACCAAAGGGCGAACGTCGCAATCTATTGCTGCAACAGGTGAGCTTGTAGTTTATACAATAAACAGAATCCTCATTGATTTTATTTATATTTCATAGCTGGAATTCTGGATGAAGGAGGCAGAGAGCATTAAGAGCATTTTGAGCACCAAGAACCTGGACGAGGAGGAGCAGAAGCTGTCAACGGTACGCAGCTGCAGCATACAGTAGTCAAAATTAATAACAAGTTTGAAATCGATGAGCAATTTCCGGCGCCTGGTGCGCCATTTGTTAGAGTATTTTTGTAGTCGCCTAGTCACGTAGCCTTCTATGATCTTATATACTACTTATATACAGATATACACATACATATGTCTACACTAGACTCGCTTTCTATGTACTATGTAGAACAGGACCATGTCAACGTTTTGTAACGCTCCCAATATCTATTCTATGTTTGGTTGTTTTTAATCCTAATGGCCTTTCCTACTGTATACTGACCCATTTGCCTGCCTGAGGCTGTACAATCGTTGTTAAGTTTTTTTAAAAAAAAACCTTATAATTATCTTTTTTAAGCGCACCTTGGGGAGAACCCACACATTCCCTGGCCATTCAGATCTGTCACGATTGTATATCATTCTGTTCATTGTGTTTAATTTGATTAAAATGGTTTAACGATAACCGGACAAGGGTCTTTTGATCAACGCGATAGTGGCGCTCTCTCTCTCTAGTAATCGAACAGGTACAATCTATGGCCATATCTCCTGCCGTAAATGATTGCAATCAATCTACTTAAATTGGCAATGTCGTCGTCGGTAAACTTATAAAGGCGACCGTCAGGCCGATGAGAGCGCTAATTTAGTCTAACGATGTGGTCGAGTGGAGATATTAACCTGACGGTGGGAATTGCCCTCCTGGCCATTGCAGGCGTTGTCCAGGCAGCTCCACCCATGGGCCGTGTGGTCAATGGAACGGATTCCAGTGTGGAGAAGTATCCTTTTGTGGTGAGTAGAAAGGAAATAGCCAAGGATCATCCTTAATGCAGTTAAACGTGGTGATTCTATTAAGGTTTTTGAATTTATTTCTAATAATTTAAAAAGGAAATTAAATCTTTTATTAATTTTCTGAATCATATCCTTCAGATTTCAATGCGAGGTCCTACTGGCTCCCATTCCTGCGGCGGTTCTATTATTTCCAAGCAGTTTGTCATGACTGCCGCCCATTGCACCGCTGGACGCACTGCTGCACAGCTCAGCGTCCAATATGGAGTGACCACCATCAATTCGGCAGGTCCGAATGTCGTTCGTGTCAAGAAGATCATTCAGCATGAGGGATATAACCCGAATAACAACTATGCCAATGATATTTCCCTGCTGATGTTGGAGGAACCTTTAAAATTCGATGGCGTCACTGTGGCTGCCGTAAAATTGCCCGAGCTTGCTTTTGCCACACCTCAAACAGACGCCGGTGGCGAGGGAGTGCTCATCGGTTGGGGTCTAAATGCGGTGAGTTTATATAAAATAATTTATTATTATTAAATATATTTATAAGGACATACCTTTCAGACCGGTGGCTACATCCAAAACAATCTGCAGGAGGTGGGTCTGAAGGTCTACTCGGATGCAGAGTGCACTCTCCGGCATGAGGGCAGAACAGATCCTAGATACCACATCTGTGGCGGAGTGGATGAGGGCGGTAAGGGTCAGTGCAGTGGGGATTCTGGTGGTCCGCTGATCTACCAAGGTCAGCAGGTGGGCATCGTGTCCTGGAGCATCAAGCCTTGCACTGTGGCCCCCTTTCCTGGTGTCTACTGCAAGGTGAGCCAGTATGTTGATTGGATCAAAAAGAATCAAATCATATTGGCCTAGTCATACCCATTATCGGTTAATTGATATAAGGCAGCAATAAATCACTGATTAAATGGATTTGATATATGTGTGTATTATTAGCTTTAAGAAGCTTACAAAAAAAGAATTTATGGGAGGGAAATACCACTCGCTTTGGTAAGAACTTCCTTTTAGAAATCAAAGGAAATGAAAACAATAGAATAGTTTTTCTTAATAAGATCAACTACCATAAAGGGTTATAATAACTAATCAATATAATAAAAGCAAAACATTGATAAGCCACACGCTTACAATCTCTTATAAAAACAGTCCCTTAGTCTTTCTTTAAATCGCCTGTTGGCCAGACAAGTGCCATTTTATATCATCAATGACGACAGATTTAATCACAGACTATCTTTGCTTGTAAATTATATTAAAATGACACTATCGGCCAAGTCGAAAAGCTTATAAAAGGCGGTAGCCAAACCATGAAAGCACGTTTAATTCCAAAATGTTACCAAAACAAGACCTCTGCCTGGCCATAATCGTTCTTCTGGCCATTACCTCTATTGGCCAGGCCCTGCCAATGAGTGGAAGAGTGGTCAATGGAACGGATTCCAATGTGGAGAAATATCCCTTTGTGGTAAGTTGAAAATAAAAATTAATTTATTTCATAATCCTATCTAACTTGTATTTGTTAGATTTCCCTTCGTGGTCCCTCTGGCTCCCATTGGTGTGGCGGTTCCATCATTTCCAAGCAGTTTGTCATGACCGCCGCCCATTGCACCGATGGAACCTCTGCTCACGAGCTTAGTGTCCAATATGGAGTAACCACAATCAGTGCGGAGGGTCCAACTGTTGTTCGTGTCAAGAAAATCATTCAGCATGAGGGATATAACCCTTACAATAACTATGCCAATGATATATCCCTGCTGATGTTGGAGGAGCCTTTGGAGTTTGATGGTGTCACTGTTGCTCCTGTAAAATTGCCCCAATTAGCCTATGCCACGCCTCAAACGCAGGAAGGCAGTGAGGGCGTACTCATCGGTTGGGGTTTAAATGCAGTAAGTTTATAGATGATTTTTAATAAGAATTATATAATATATTTAAATCGAAATCCCTACCAGACTGGCGGCGTTATCCAAAGCACCCTGCAGGAGGTGGGTCTGAAGGTATACTCGGATGAGGAGTGCACTGCCCGGCATGAGGGAAACACGGATCCCAAATATCACATCTGTGGAGGAGTGGATGAGGGCGGCAAGGGTCAGTGCAGTGGAGATTCTGGTGGTCCTTTGATCTACCAAGGTCAGCAGGTGGGCATCGTATCCTGGAGCATCAAGCCCTGCACTGCTGCCCCTTATCCTGGTGTCTACTGTAAGGTTTCTCAGTACATTGACTGGATCAAGAGGAACCAAATTGTATTGGGATAAGCAAGTCCTTTTATTTGTTAGTATAAATTGGAACGATTATTTTAATTGAATTTTAAAATAAAAGTTAATTTTTTAGGAGCATATATCTACCAAAAATTCAATAATCTTTTACGACTATCCTTTTTAAAATCGAGCAAGGAAGTCAAAGATCCTTGCAGAAAATTGATCATAAATAGGCTAAAAATACATTAATTTCAATTTGGAAAGCAGTTCTGTGTTTGTTTTTATTCCTTTAACAAATTAGCGTATTAAGTTTAAGGTTGAACAAATAAACATTTTTTGTTGAAATTTTTGACAATTTTAATGATATAAGATTTAGAAAAAATTAGAAATTTGTATTTTCTTTTTAACATAGCTAGATTGACTTGGCTTTTGATGCTGATCAAGAATATATATGATTTATAGAGTCGGAAATGATTTTTCATACAATAAAATGTGAAATTCATAAGAAAGTATTACCCGAATTTTGTAGCTTTAATTTTTTATAGTCTCAAATATTTTTTTTTCAAATGGATAGATAGATGTAAGAACTGACTAACAAAAATGGTCTGAAGATTTTGGTCTAGAAAATATACACTTTTTGGGGTTTGGGACTGCATATTTAGTCTTTTGCTTAAATTCTATGTGACCGCTTAGTGATAATACCCTTATACCCCCTCATGGTTACAGGGTATAAAAACATATTGATAAGCAACACACTTTCAATCTTTTGGTAAAAACTTTCTGATTATATATCAGATATATGAAATCAAGTATATAAGCTCCCATTTATATTCTCCATTGGTCTTTATTTAAATTATTATTTGATAGCCAGACAAGTGCCATTTTATATCAATGACGGCAGATTTAATCACTTTCTATCTGCATTCGTAAATTATATTAATTAGGGACACAATCAACCAAGACGAGAAGCTTATAAAAAGCGGTAACCAACCCAGGGAGGTATGTTTAATTTAAAATAATGTTGCCGAATAAAGATATCTGTCTGGGCATAATCGTTCTCCTGGCCTTTACGTCATTAGGCCAGGCCGCGCCTCCAAATGGGAGAGTGGTCAATGGAACAGATTCCACCGTGGAGAAGTATCCCTTTGTGGTGAGTCCGATATTTAAATAATATATATTTAACATTTAATAATAATATATTTAAAATATATTTATCTTTCTTAATTCCAGGTATCTTTGCGCTTCTCAGATGGCTCTCATTCCTGTGGTGGTTCCATTATTTCCCAGCATTTTGTGATGACCGCCGCTCACTGCACCAATGGACGCTCGGTGGAGTCCTTTTCGGTGCAGTATGGAGTGACCAATATTAGTTCTGGGGGTCCCAATGTGGTCCGTGTGAAGAAGATTATCCAGCATGAGGAATTTGATCCTTGGAGGCAAAATGCCAATGATATTTCCTTGCTAATGGTGGCAGAGCCCTTTGTCTTCGATGGCATCCATGTGGCTCCCGTAACCTTGCCAGCTTCGGCCTTTGTAGTTCCTCAATCCAATGCTGGTGTCCAAGGCGTGCTCATTGGATGGGGTTATAATGATGTGGGTTTCTAAGTGATTTTTCTTAAAATTCCTATTTAATTACCTCGATTTTCGTGCAGACCTATGGCAGTGTTCAGGAGACTCTGCAGGAGGTTTCCCTGAAGATCTATTCGGATGAGGAGTGCACTCTGCGACATGAAGGACAAACGGATCCCAAATATCACATCTGCGGTGGTGTGGATGAGGGCGGTAAGGGTCAATGCAGTGGGGATTCCGGTGGTCCTTTGATCTATCAAGGTCAGCAGGTGGGCATTGTGTCCTGGAGCATCAAGCCTTGCACTGTGGCCCCTTATCCTGGTGTCTACTGCAAGGTTAGCCAGTACATTGACTGGATCGCTCGCAATCAAATCATATTGGCTGAGTCACAGATTGATCAATAAATTGAATTTAAATTTAACCTGATTAATAAATCAATGTGATTGCAAGAGTCCATTTGGTTTCCGATAAGCAAATTATCTGTGCGATTATTATTAAAAACACTGTGGGGGGCTAATAAATCTTGAATAATATTATTTGTGCCCATAATTTTTGCATATTTTTAAGTGGTTGAAAATTAGTTCATTTGGCGCCTTTGTAAGCAGTGTTAAGCAGTGCGCCTGTTTACGTTAGGCATGAAGATTAAAGCAGTGTCCAAGGAGGAACCTAGGTTTGTAGTATTCATCAAACTGTAAGTGGATTTCCTTAAGTTTTGGGTTATATTTATTTTGTTTTATGTTGAAAATTTTTGATGTGAAATAAAGCTTATATTTAATTTCTTTGTTAAATTTATGTACATTATAGCTAAAGTTATTTACGAATGTTTAAAGATTAGTCAAGACTTTCCTACATACAAAATTAAGACACCAAAGGTATGAATTTCAATGATTAAAAATGAAAATACTCTTATGGAGTATACTATACATATTTGTATTATATTAAATATTTATACAAACATGAAAAAATTAATGTTTTTAGAGACTCTTTATTATTCTATATTAATTTAAGTATCAAAATTTACAATCATTGGAATTCTATTAAACCTTATATTTATTTTATAAGCAATATTTTGTAGTAAAATCTGAAGTAATTAACAGTAAATAATAATAAAGTAGAATTTCTAACACATGTTTGGATTTTTATTATAAATTAATTGAAACTTTATTAAAATTTCAACTTTTTTTTAATATACCTATTCTCGAGAAAAGTTCGTGATTTTTATTGAAATAAATGCTATTTATATGATTAAATAATAGTTTTTAAATACCATAAAACGCTTATCAAAGGAAGAACTGTTTTTATATATTCTATGAATTCTTCCCCACCAAATAAATATATAGTAATAATGATAAAATCCACCTGCACCATCAAAATGAAGAAGTAAACAGTTTGAGAGCCACTGCTCAACTGGACCAATACGAAGGCGACGCGAGCCGAATCACTCATCCGCCCCGTCGGCTGCTGCTTTCGCTCTGCTTCTTGCGGATGGTGCTGCGGCGACCGTTGCTTCAGCTTCCTGCCACTGCAGTCAACATTTTCAACTCAGACGGAACGCACGGTTGGGCGGACTTAAGCTAAAAGCAGTTAGAAATTAATTCAAAAAAAGTGAGCCAAAAGCAAGGTGAACGTGGTTTTTGAGTGCGAAATCATTAAAAACTGATCAAATACTTGAAATAACCTGAAAGTAAACTGGAAAATAAACCTCAAATTAATAAGAAACTGTGGTGTAGTCATTCTCTATAAAATATCTCTTTGAAATATCATTATGAAATACAGATAGATCTCTGTGAAAGATCTTGTTGGATGATTTTACTGTTTGTTTGTGTTTTCTAGTTCGTTTTTCGTTATTTGCCATTGAGGCAAAAGAAATGAGAGAGGAAAATATTTACCATTTGCTGGCATAGAATGCGGAAGGTCGTCTATTATGAGGCTGCATTCATTCGTTTAATTAAAAAACAGAAACACATAAAAAGACAGAACCAAAATGACTCGTTAATTGGCTGCTGCTGCTGCTGCTGCGAGGGCCACACTGCGAATGCGTGATGCTTGGGCCTGCAGAGAAAATAAAATTGTATATATAAAAACTGCAATCAAAGGCCTGGGCCTCCGCCACAAATTGATCCAGTCCTCCCCCTAGGAAAAAAAGAAAACTGGGTCTCCTCCTTCTCCTCTCTTCTCATACATATTTCACCAAATCAAATCAAAGCTCAAAAGTAGGCAACAAACGTACACACAATGAGAGAGAGTTAGTAATACGATTTTCGGTTTTGCTCCTGTTCCTGCCCGTCCGCCCTACTCAAAGTATTTTCGGAAAAAATTTTGTGGAAACACTCAGCCCTGAACGCATAGAAAAGAACTTTCAAACACCCCTTCCTACCTTTAAAACTTCACCATGTAATCCGCAAAACCCCTCAGCATTCGCGCATTTAACTAACAACAAAAGCAATTTGAAAACAATTTTTTGAGTTCGAGAAATACGTGTGGCCCTGTGCGGTCGTGGCCTACATGCTTATGGCTCTACAGGATCCATCTCCTGGTTTTAGCTGTTGGGCTTCCCCAAACTGGGCGTGGCAACAGCCAGATGCTGCTGCTGCTGGCAATTTGTAACATTTCATTTCTGCCACTTCTTTTGCAGCCGCCAAACAAAAGGTGGATGCAACAAAAGTGGCCAAAGCATCGACAGCTCTTTCTGATTTATTCAGCAACATGAACTGACTGGGAAATAGATAGAGAAATTGCATTTTCGCGAAAAGTGCAGCAGCTGAAAAGTGCGGAAGTACGCTGCAATATTAGTTTTAAATAATTTAGTATTGAGTTTGGGAATCAATATGAACTGGGGTGTGATCTATAATGAAAAAGAAAAGAGTTCAGGGTTGATACTAATATAGAAGTTGAAGAAATTTTAAAAGTTATTCCTTGTATTTGGTTAATTCTTATGAGAAATACATTGAATTTGCTTGAAATTATTATTTTCACATTGAAATAATTCAGAAATTATAGTTAAAATTTTTCTTACAAAGAGGAAAATGTAATATCTTTAAATGAAATGCCAAAATCAATCATTTAAAACAGGTTGAATTATACAAAAATGTCTAAGATATAGGAATTATTTATTCAAATGTAGCTCAAATCAACATTTTAGACAAAAGATTACATAAAATATTATGATATTATGATATAAATATTAAAATAAGAACTGCTTTCTGCTTAAAAGAAATGAGAAGATGAGATTTAAAATTACACACGAATGCCAGGCAAAATGTTAGCTTACTAATATAAAGAGTTTTAATTGTTTTAATAACTTGTAAACCAGGAATACTTACAAAATGTTTAAAAACTACATCTTAAATATTGTATTTTATAAATAAAAGGACTCTAAGTGTAGTTTCTAATGTATTAAAGTACTTAAATTCCTATTTTTTAATAGAATTCAAGCACAAACAAACATAATATTTGATTTTTCGCAAAAGTCTTTCCAAGAATATATCCAGCAAATATCAGCCCAAGCTTAAAAATACATAAATTAATGAATATATAAATAAAATAACCAAAGCAAAAACAAAAACCCTACAGAAGGTCAAACCGATCTGGGAGAGAAACAAAAAACAAAATAGCAATTTCAGTGAGTGCTTGGTCTTTTTGCATCAGTGTGTCATTCCGTCACTTTGTCACTTTGTCACTTTGTCAGTGCTGCTGTGTCCGCGTGTGTATTAGTGTCACTGTGTGTGAACTCTGTGGTAAAGGTCAGAAACTCATATGAAAATGTCGAGCCTGGAAGCAATGTCAACAAAAGCCGCTGTCACCGACAAGGTCTCGTCAGTGGAAATGCATCCAGAAACCATGAGAGCACCACCGGGATCGATTGCCTCCAGCAGCAGCAGCAGCAGGAGCAGCAGCAGCAGCATCAGCTGTAGCTCCCATCTGAGGGCCAGTCCTTTTACGGTGGCTCTGGCCATTCTGGTGGCCATTGTCCTGTGCAGCGGCAGCCTGGGAATTGCCGACGGCCTCAAGTGTCACATGTGTGGGCAATATAACGAGGGAGTGGGCTCTATAACGCCCTGCACTAATTACACCAAGGACATAGCCCATCTTTATCTAAAGGAGTGCACCAAGAAGAGCGAGAAGTTTTGTGTGGTAAGTGTTTCTTTTGATTTAAAATCTAAAACTCTAAAGAAATTCGAGAATTTCTCTAGAGACCATTTCATATTTCCCCAAAACAAGCCACAAAAATCATATCGAAATGATAAACAGTTTGCTTGGACACTGATCAATTTCTGTGACATTTTTCTTTGATTTTCCCTTGCCAATTGAACCGAAATTGAAACGTTGCATTCATTTATTTATAGACTCATTCATTTTGGCTCATTGGTGCTCATTGTTGTCATTGTCCAGGGGAAGCGCAAAAAAAACATCGATTGTCCTGGCAGCTACTCCTCCTCCTTATTTCCTTTTAGTCCTTCCACCATTGATGACTTCTCGAGTTGATGTTTCCCTTTTATTGTTTTTCGCCTGTACTCATATTGATTGTGTGTGCCTCCGTCTGTTTGTCTTATCTCTTCGATTTTGGCCATATATACCACTTGGCAAAGTAAAGTCGTTGAGAGTTTTGCTGTTGTCACAAATTCTTGTTTCAAGGGAAAAATACAAAAACAAAGAAAAATAGATAAATTGCTTATAAAAACAAAGTGAATCATTTGCTTGAGCTTAGAGTGGCTTGAGTGCCATAAGAAATAATCGGTTTTGGCAAATCGATTTGGGTTTTTATTTCAAAGGGAAATTGGATTTGTAATATTTTAAGCTGGATTGTTTCTTAGAAATGAAGAATAGTTAAGATTAGGAAATATATGAACGGTTCTATTTGTTAAAAAAATTGGTTTGTAAATAAATTATAAATTGCTTGTAAGGTTTATTATATCAACGATGACGTCCTTTTAATTTATGTAATATGTTTTATATTTTAATAAAGCTAGAAAATTTTGGTAAAAACTTCATGAAACTATCATAACTTTAATATAAAATCTTATAAAGAAAATATATAAAAACATGTGTTGTAAACTCTTTATTTACTAATTATTACAAAACAGGTATAACCTTTTATTGTATTTTAACTCATCAGCCATTGAAACTTCCAAAATAAATCAAATACAATTCTTTTGTTAAATAAATTAAACTAGATTTTAAAATTTTAAGAAAATAGGGTCATCCTTCTTTTATATTTTTTTTTTCAAATCAATAACTTTACTAAACTTTCCATTTATTATTTTTTAACTTAATAACTTTACTTACTGTAGCCTCAAAAACAAATATATAAAATTCTCTCTGTAATATAAAATTGACTAATTAATAATTGTAATTATTCTTAGTATATAATAATTTGTATATTATGTAATATAATATAAAAGTTATAACCTTTTATTGTTTTTCTGTATTAATTATTTAAAAAAGGTATTACCTTTTATTGTTTTTCAACTCATCAACCATTTAAACTTGAAAAATAAAACAAATGCAATTCTCTCTGTTAAATTAAATATGCTTTATTTAATAATTGTTACAACATGTAAATATTGTATTCATTTCCATTCCATTAGCTACTTAAATTCAAGTCATTATCGCTAATTAGAACCACTTTGAAGCTTAAGATCTCTCCTCAAGCATACCTTCTGTCTTACCTAACCTTCCTCGTTACGTATACGCAATGTGTGCCCATTTGTGCCCAAGATGCTCAGCATCCTGGCTCATTGTTTTCAGGTGATGAAGGTGGTGGGAAGGGGTGAAAATGACTGTCCCCAAAGTAGGAGGAGGAGGATGATGGCAGCCAGGTAAACTAATGCCAACTGCCAGCTCTGGCAATTTCAATTAGTTCTGCGGTCGTCGAGCGGTTTGCCAACCCGATCTATTCCTGTGGCACGTGTTCCAGAACTCTCTGCCTTCATGTCCTGATTGTGGGCGTGGCAGCGCAATTGTGCGCATAAATTGCGGCATATTGTATGCACTCAATTCTCCAGTGTGTGTGTGTGTTTGTCTGGGTGTGTGTGTGTGTGTGCGGAGCACTTAACGAATTGCAGCGGCGGCAACAGCAGGAGCAATGTGGATCCTGGATCCTGGTCCTGTTTGCGCTTTGGCAATCATTAAATATTTAACACCTACTTGCCATGCACAGCTTGCAGCTTCATCTTCTGTGGGTGCCTCTCCCTGGTTTTTTTTTGGCATTTGGTGGCCATAAATTGTTATTTTCTGCCAACACGTCCCGCTCATTTCAACATGCTCCCCGCCCATGCCAAACCCCTCTTGGGCATAATTTAGTTTCGTTACCAATTTCCTTCTTTTTTTGCTGGGGGTTCCGTTTGAACACGGGGCATATCTGTGGTTCTGTGTTGAGGAAAGAAGAAAAACGATTTTTCACCAACACACACACACATTTTTTTACTTTCATAATCGGCAAGCGAGCGCCGTTTTCACACATTACTATTCGATATGAAATGTGGAAACGAGTTGAGTGCAATTTTATCTGCATTTTCTTTTTTTTTTTCATATGTTGCCATTAAATTTGATTTTTGTGGAAAAAATGCGACGCGCTTTTTTTCACACCGCCGACAAATTGCATTTAATTGCAATTGGCAGGCCGCTCGTTGCAAACAGCAAATGATATCAAATTTATGGTGAGAGTGCGGCGGCATTTTCCCCACAAAGTGTCTCTTTGTTGCACATTTTCATTTGTTTTTAATTTTTTGTGATTCTCCAAAGGGATTGCATTATTTATGATGACAGTTTTTTATAGTTTTTTTTATATATTTATTTCTTTAATAACTATTGAGTTGTTTAATAGATTCACACTATTTATTTATTGATGTGGGATTAAAGTGCATCATTTCAGTGTGAGAATATTTAACATTTTTTGAAGCATTACAAATTCTATTTTAATTCGTATAGTTATGAATAATAAAAGAGGGAATGGGGAAAAAAGCTTTGCATTTTTAATTCGCATTATTTTTAATTTTTTTATTTATATATTTTTTTTAATTTTAATTTTGCATTTTAAATCCTGCATTTTATATGTATAGTTATGCATTTTATAAGTGTGAAGTGGGAAGAATTGCAAAGAATTTGAGTTTGTAGCTATTTTGAATTTTTTAAGTGGTTAACTCAATTTAAAATGCAGTTTAGATTTATAAGCAATGGGAAAAAATTCTATGGTTTTTATTTTTATTTGCATTTATAATTCTATTTTGGTCGGTCAATTTATGAATAATATAATAGAAAAAAAAACAATTAAATAGTTTGGGCTTAAAGTCATTTTCAATCATTTTAATAATTTATTGCCTATAACAATTGCAATATTATTTAAGAAAACAACAAACAACGAAAAGCCGATGTTTAATTTGCAATTAAAAGATAGGATTTAATTCAAAATCATTCTTAAGTAAGCTTCAAATATTTATATTTTTTAAATCGATATTTATCAATATATTCTATGAACACTTTTTCAATAGAATCCTAGTATAAAAACGCCTAACTAAGCCAAAAAAGCATTAATTTTAATTCGGAAAGCTTTCCCATATTAGTTTTTATTAGATTAATAGCACTGCATACTCAGTTTAAAATGTTTTTTTTTTTCTCAAAATTTTTGACAATTTTAACGATGTAACCCCTTTTTAAACCCCCTTAAAATTTTGAAAATTTGGAAAAAATTAAATTTCCTTCAAATATGGCCAGATCGGCACGGCTTTTGATGCTGATCAAGAATAAATATGATTTATAGGGTCGGAAATGATTCCTTTACTGAATTGCAAGCTTCTGATAAAAGAATACACTGCAATTAAAACTGTATTATGTATGAAAATTCGGTCAATCGGTCGAATCAAAAATTAACCATAACTTGGTTAAAAAAGCATTAATTTCATATCGGAAAGTTGTTTTATGCTAGTTTTTATAAGGATAATAAATTTGCATACTTCTTTTTAAAATTTTAAAAATTGTATTTTTTGGCGACCACAACCTCTTATTTTTTTTGGAAAAAATTAAAAAAAAAAAAAGTGAAAAATTTATTTTTCTACCGGTCATGGCTAGATTGATTCTCCTGTTCATGCTGATCAAGAATATATAGGATTTATTTATTATACGGAAATAACTCCTTCACTGCGTTTCATGCTTCTGAATAAAATAATAATTAAAATAAAAGACCTAAAGGATAAGCTACCTGATTACTTAAATAAGGTGAAAAAATACGCGCATTATTGCCTTTTCTGTATCGCTTAAGTTACGCTAAAAATCAATGCCCACAAGCGTTTTAGCTTAAATGTCAACCAATAAATTGAAAAGGATCTTCCATTGTGATGAGCCTGCCAAAGGAAACATAATACTTGCCTCCGCCAGACCTTGGGTATTTATGTTTTAGCTTTTATCTTTCCGTTTTTTCTTGCCGTCGCCTCGCCTGATAATTGCCATTCATTTTGTTATTAACAGCTTCACAGGCACTTAATTAGCGGCATAATTTATGCCAAGCCGCAAAAGTAAAGAGCCCCAGCAGAATGCCAAGATGGTGATGCCGATGGTGATGCTGCCGATGGTGATGCTGATGATGAAGATGGTGATGGTGATGATGATGCTACCACCCCCGAAAAGTGGACAAGCAAGGAAAAATATGTTGCAGCACGCAAAACGGCAGAAACAACAAAAATGAAACAAAACTTTTGTTTAAATATTAAGCAACCTTTTTTGCTCTCCCCTTGGCTGTTGGCCATAAAAGTTGAAGTGTTCCTTAGCCAGTGGCTACTGCGGTTGTTGTCTTGACTGCTTGACCTGATGTCGTCGTGTTTTCGGCCAAGTAGTTGGCGTTTTTGTTGATTATTTGTTTTATGTTAGTTATGCGACGCTACAAAGTTACTTGGCCTGGCGCCGTCTGCTGGGAATCGTCTTATATATATTTATGAGTTACATTTATATTCAAATTAGTAGGGGAGGGGTTTTATGTTAGTCCAATGCATAATTCATAATTTCGATAATGAGCTCCAGGGTAGCAGAAGGCTCGCTCTCCTTATTCACACACGTAATCTACATCTTTTGCTTAAAACAATGGCAGCAGTCCATTGTTTTTGATGGGGTCGGGTCGGTGAGCACGTAAACAAATACACGGCCTGCATGTATGCATGGTTGTGTATTTAACCCTTGACCTCATGCAAAACAATACAAAAAAAGTTAAAGAATAAAACGCGAAAGCGCTGGGTGGAGTGGGAGATACGGCCAACGCCTAGGCACGTAATTAATTTTTTGTTTTGTTCTCAATTCCAATTGTCTTGCAGTTCGAATCAGTAGTAAACGCTATATTACCTTTTGAACAAAAAGAATCTAGGGCACTGTGAGAAATAAATAAAAAAAACAGGAAACTTCTGGGTATTTTACAGTATGTATTAAGGATCTAGGGATTACTAGAAAGTAATGATGATGAAATAATAAAGCTAGAAATACAAATTCTATTAAAAATTCAACTAATATTCCACATATTTGTTTCCCCACTATTATACCCAGATTTTTCCTGTGCAAGGACCTCCACTTATAGGGAGTTTCAAGGCTTCCTTTTGTCAACTATTGCAGTATCAATTCTCAGTTAAGCTGCAGAAAGTAGGGACAAAAAACTTGCTGTTGTGGCTACGTGCCTGTGCCTTCTAAACCAAAGGACCAGCTAAAAACCCAAGTGCCAAAAAACAAACACGAATATATAGGGCAAAGTCCGTCCGGAAAAGCCTCTCCACAAACTGAGAGAGAGACAAGGGAATGGCCGGAAAAACGGAATGCAAATATTTTGCCTTCATTTCTGGTTGTCGTAGATGGCAGTGGTGCCGCTGTTTGCCGCCATTGTTGTTGCAATTAGGAATGTTTACACTGCCCCACGGACAAACACGCCCCCAAAATCACTTAAAAGTTGGCATTCTGCCTTCATTAATATTTGCAATGTCAAAGCAAAGTGGCACAATTTAATAATGCAACAATGGTTTAAAAATATATATTTTAAAGTCCGCAAAAAAACGTTCAATAACATAATAAACATTTTGAAAATTTAATTGTGGCTTAAGTGTTATATATATGAATTCCTTTGTTGGTTATCCTCTCTGTAATTTCAAAATCATTAAACTTTATTTATTGAGTAGTTTTTTGAATACTCACAAAGCTGTCTGGGAACTTGGAAAATTGGAGTGCATTTCATAGAAACGAAAAACCATTTGGGGTATTTCAACATAAGCAATGCAACTCGGCACTATTTCGGGTTGTTTCAGATGCCAGAATTTGATCAAGAAAGAGATTTCACCATTGTCATTGTATCCTTGTAATATTTCTTTGGCCTTAAAATCACGATTGAAAGGACTATCCATCACAATGCCCGGATCAATTTTCAATCGTTTAGCCTTTAATTCATATATTTTATTAAGGTCTTTTTCTTTAATTTGACGTTGTAGCATTTTGTACGCTGCTATGAGACTTCCACAATCTTGAACAACATCCACCAAGTCCGTAGCCATCTCCCAGGTATTATCTTCTTCGGGAAAATTTTGCCATTTCACCAAATATTGTAGTTGCCCTTTGTGTATTCTATGATCCAGTACCCTTTCCACCACAAATTCCGTTGAATAATCCACATTCTTCAAACTTTCAGTAGAGTCCGACATTATTATTTGTGTTTTTTATTTATTTTTGATGTATTTTTCAAATGACATTTGATAAAGAGGCTACTGTATCATAAAATTATTCAATGTCAAAGTATGTTTCAAACTTTTTATCGGTTGCTAAGTTCTTGACATTTTGTGGTGACATTTTCTTTAAGCAAAATTATTTGGATTTATTTTTTTAAAAAGTTGCAGTTATTTATCTTTACCTTAAATATTTTCTACTTACTTATTTAAATACAAAAATACTCAATCTCTTTCGCCTGAAATTATCATAAAATTGTGGTACAAAAATTGCTTGGAATTCATACTAAATCAGAAAGTTTGCCATAATCTTAATGTCCACAGCTTAGGCAAACGGTATTAATAATAAAATCCAATCCAATACAAGAAAAGTGAATAAAATTGTTTGCCCGGAAATCTATTAGAGATCCTTTGGCTACCCCGGAAAACTCCTTTCTCCTGACAACAATAACAGCGGTGAGCTGGCCAAAAGGAAAAACTGCGGAAAAATATCGTAAAAAATTATGCGTAAACTTGGCAAAAAGTTTGAGATACTCGCACAGCAAAAACTTTGCCACGAGGTTTCGGTCTTCGGGTATCACGATGTTTAATGAAGAAAAACTTGCTTGTTTTTCTTTACTCTTTTGTTTTTTTTTTTAAAGAGTAACTTTCCTTGATGGATCACTTGGCTTTTACGACTTGAAATTGGATCATATGTGTGTGTATTACCTGAATTATAACTCCCTAAGAAGTTTAATTTAGGCAAATACTTAAAAAGCGGAAAACCAGTCAGTTTTCTTTTTACTGCCTGTCAATCGCAGATCCACTTTTTATTACTATATTTTTTTTATGTTTGGTCCAAACCAGCACGTAACCGGCATTAAATCGACAAAGTTTTATTGGCCAAAATTAAAAGCTCGATTATGCGTGTTGACGTGGGCCAGATTTTGTTAGGATTTCGGTGGACTTTTTAGAGGCCCAGAGATTTACATGGCAATGCGGCAATCAAACTGTTCACCAACTGCTACGTGAATGGAATAAATCGTTGAAGGTATGGGTACAAATCTGGCATAGAATTGGGATTTTGAAAAGTCAGTGCAAAGATATATAATAAAAGGAGAGTAACAGGAGAACCTTCCTCAAGTGCAGGGGTCCGGTCCTTGTAATATAGCCATAAATGGCAATGGGGGCTGGCAATTTCCGTGCGGCGACTTGTGAAATCAGCGTCAAATCGGAAGACAGGAAGTGGAGAGGGAAGTAGAGTGGCAGGGGAAGTGAGAACGAAAGTCGAGGTGACTGTCTATGCCATCATTTCCGGCGGCCATTGATTGGGCGGGGTTGCTCCTTTAAGGGGAGCCTGCTGCTATGCCTGGATAAATTCAATGTAATTGATAAGCGACTCTGCACAGATAGAACGTTGGTCCTGCTCCACACACACGTACTATATACACTCGACTTTGGGTAAACACACACATTCAGACACACACCCACACACAGAGGCACTCAATTAAGAAAACAATGGCGGCTCAGTTTGTGCGGCAATTGAGTTTCAGTTTTTTTTTCTCTCTTTTTCTCTTGGCATCTGCTTTTGGCCTCTTTTGTTTTGCTTTCGACGGGGATTCCTTTTCCATCCTGTTACCCTTTCTACTGTTTGGCCACTAAGACGCTTAGTCCTGCCACAAGCCAAAACTCTGGTATTTGACTAGACCCGGAGTGTATCTCCACCACTCTCTCATGTCCTATCTCACGCTCATTAGCCGTTGTCTTTCAGCCAATTCGGCTGTCACTTTTTGTGGTAGTTGTAGCTGCTTTTGTTCGCATTTTCCGCTTGACTTAACTCACTTTCGGGCTAATTTCCAGTTTTATTTGATCATCATTATAATTATTGTATGTTTGTTTTGATAATGAAAGAAAATTTGGTAAGGAAAGCAAATTCCTTTTTTGCGATGTGGAAACTAAGTGTTCGCTCATAAGTAGGCAATGTTTTTTGTGAAGACTTTTTGAAGATTTATTTACTATTTCCAGAATCAAAAATCCAAATGACTTCAATAATAATATTTTTAAAGGATTTTAAGAGTTTCTTTTAATAATTTAAAAGAATAATGTGTAAATTTTCAATAAAAGTTTAACACTGTTTACAAGTTAATAAATTATTTAATAAACAAAAATAACTTCCTCACAGTTATAGGTCCTATATATACTACATTATATTTTATTAAAAAACAAACATTTCTCTTTTCTCTCAATTTAAGTTTGTTTCAATTAAAAAGGAAACTTTATACAGTTTTCTCTCATTCCGTTCGTTTTCCTTAGCTGCATTTATGTCAGGAAAATACATTTTATTTAATCAAAAATTGAAACAAACGAATTTCTGTTAGTTTTTTCATATCTCTCCCTTTCAGTTTGTCTCAATTTAAGTATCAAGTATTTAGGGGCTGAGCTGCCCCAGCTGAGCTCCATTAACAGCTCACACATGCTGCACCGAAAGTTCTTCAACACCCAGCATAATAATTCATTTATTTCAGTCCGGAATAAATGCACTATATATATTCTGTCATTCCCAGTTGGGGCTGCCAACTATCTCTCTCGGTCTTTGCATTCAGTTTTTTGAGGCATTGTAAGCGATTTAAACTGCCAGCCCACAAAAATATGGCAAATGGCAGTTTGGTAGTTGGCAGTTGGCGCTTGGGAGCTGCCTCTGGTCGACCTCTCCTCCATGGCCAGCCCAAGTTGTTTCGCATATAAATGATTTTGATAACGCGCACTGACATTTTGTGACTTCATTATTCTAAAATTTAAATTATTCCAACGAACAATGGAATTTCGCAAACACAAGCAGAGAAAATAAAAGACAACAAGAAAGAAAGCTAACTTCGGCACGCCGAAGGTTATATACCCTTGCATATAGAACTTCGATGACTAGGAATCCATACAATAAAAATTACATATATTTATGTTAAAAAACAAAAAAGTTATACCTGCTTTTATTTTATTCACCTATACATATTATATTTGCAGTATATGACACAAAATTTAAGACTGATATAAAATGGCTATATCTCAAATTTAGTGAAAATCAGCTGAAAACTGAATACGTTATTTCTGAAACGTTCATTTCTTTACCGTTCCTATGGCAGTTAAATGAATTAGTAGTCCGATTTTCATATAACTTTACACAAAATTGAATAATAATATGAATCAGCTATATCTCAAATTTGATAAAAATCTGTTAAAAACTGGAAAAGTTATAATTTTTAATTGTATTAATTTCTCGATCGTTCCTATGGGAGCTATATGATATAGTTGTCCGATTTTCATAAAATTTTACACAAAATCGATTGCAGACGAAAATATAATTTGTATCAGTGAAGGAGCCATTTCCGACCCTATAAATCGTATAAATTCTTGATCAGCATTAAGTAATGGGGTCCATGGCAAAAAGGAAATTAATGAAAGAATAAATTCATAGCTAGCACAACTTATCATATTCTAGACCTAGGCCTGATCACTAATATAGCTTCTCTTAATGTTTAAAATATAATAATGATATATTTGTCAAAATAAACACTTACCCCAGTAGAGATGACGTATCATCGTTCGTCATTGCTTAATTCCTTCCGATGTAGAGTTATATTCCTGGTGAGTTAATTAAGTATCATCTTACGATATGGATTCATCGAAGTGTTCTTCTTTCACTATCACTTTAGATGTAATTCCTTCCAGTATCGACTTATAATCGTGGTGACTTCAATTAGAATTATCATGGCGTCGAAGATCTCTTCCTGTTTATCTGGATGTGTTCCATTGGCCACGTCATATATTTCAGGTCCAAGGGTAATCGTAATCACTATCACTATCACTATCACTAAAGATGTTAACACTAGGTACCCCTAGGACAGACTGAGGTCGCGGCGATCAAAGAACCTCTATTTATACTTCCCGATCAATAATAACAGAGAAAGAGAGCGAGAGGGAAAGAGCTACCTCTGTAGCTGCAACAGAGAGAGATAGAGCGTTAGCGCCATCTCTAGAGCTGCAACAGAGGGAGGCAGACATACCAAATGTTATTGTGAGTAAGAAAGAGAGCGAGAGGCAGAGGCTTACAGAGGCATACAGAAAGAGAGGGGGAGAGTAAGCTATTCACTGCAATTACAATATTATAATTATTATATTATTTTATATAATATTAATATATTAATAAGAAAGGAAGCTAACTTCGGCACGCCGAAGTTTATATACCCTTGCAGATAGAACTTCTATGACTTGGAATCCCAAAAATATAAATTATATTTATTTGTGTTAAAAAACAATGAAGTAATATCTGCTTTCATTTCATTCACCTTTACATATTATATTTGCAGTTTTACAGTCACAGGTGCATTTTTCTCCACATCTAACGATCGTTTTTATGGCACCTATATGATATAGTCGTCCGATTTTCATAAAATTTTACACAAAATTTAAGACTGATATAAAATGGCTATACCTCAAATTTGATGAAAATCTGTTGAAAACTGAAAATGTTATAATTTTCAATTGTCTTAATTTCTCGATCGTTCCTATGGGAGCTATATGATATAGTTGTCCGATTTTCATAAAAAAAACATTAAAAAAAAAAACACAAAATTGTAGAGTATAGTAAAATGGCTATATCTCAAATTTGATCAAATTCTGTTGAAAACTGAAATTGTTATAGTTTTTTTTGTAAATATTATCCGATCATTCCTATGGCACCTATATGATATAGTCGTCCGATCCGGCCCGTTCCGACATAGATACGAGTGAGAGTATATAGAAGGCTAACTGCAAAGTTTCATTCACATAGCTTCAAAACTGAGAGACTAGTTTGCGTAGAAACGGACAGACGGACAGAGGGACAGAAGGACAGACGGACAGACGGACATGGCTAGATCGACTTGGCTGTTGATCCTGATCAAGAATATATATAATTTATATGGTCGAAGGTGCCTCCTTCAGTGCGTTGCAAGCTTCTGACTGAACTTATAATATCCTGCAAGGGTATAAAAATGAAAAACACCAAAGAAAAAAACAAAGCAACAAAATAAAGTG